AGTTGTCATCTAAAAGCCTTAACTCTCTCCAATGTTCCAGCCCTGCAAGGCAATGTATTATAATGGAAATGGGTCATGGGAACTTGGCAGACATATACAGTGTAGAGGCCTGTCTGGGGAAGGAGGGTGGAATGAATGGGTCCTCTGGGATCCTGCCAGGACCTAAAGAAGATATGTTATGTCCTTTGGGGCCTCCAACAGAACTCCAATTCAGCTGTCTGGGGTAGGCCCATTAGAGTTCAGAGTGGTAAGAGCCTGTAGTTTATAGGTCTGGGATTGAAACTTCTATGGGTTTTATGGGCTCAGCAAGGGGCTTCTTTTCATAATGAAGTAGGAATCTTTCTCTGAGATAACTGCATCTATTACTAAATCCACTATAATAGGATTTGATGTGGGATATTTTAGTTCCACACACTTGTGACTGTGACTCCAAACTAAGACTATAGAGATGTTAAGTATCCTATATCCTAAAGAAAAACATTTGGGGTCTGACACTCTACCCAAGGGTAACTCACATGATATTGAATGTGCTCTGAAACTAGCCACTCTTCCCCAGCCCCAATCTAAGAGTTGAGAGAGGAAAAGAAAAAGAGAATAAAGAATCAATGGACACTTTTTCTCCTCCTTCAAGCCAACTAAGTGGGGAGATTGTATTGCTTTTAGGAATTCAGGTTGGTCACAAGCATGGCATCTTTTTCCCAACTGGACACCACAATGCAGCAGACTTGATGATCTGTCTCCTCTACCTGTTGAAGCAAGGAAAGAGAAGAAGAAAGAGATGCAGAACCAAGAGAAGAGATCAATTGTTTGGCATGGCTAGGATGTGAATGGACACCTCCAAAGGAGGCCAGGTATAGACATATTATCTGTATAAAAACAAAGGCTAAGTCACTACAACAAAGTGGGCATGGGGTATATTGTTGTATGGAAGTGGGGAAGCGAGAGGACTACACATGTTAAGGCCCTACACAATGGGGAGGGTGCACCCCACAACCTGACATGTGTCCTAATAAGGACTAACACATGGGCACCTGACCCAGGGTATGAAAAGAAAGCCAGTGGTAATCTGAGAACCGCCACAATGAACAGTGAGGGCTGCAGCCTGCCTGGTTTTCCTTCCCTTCCTCCTCACCCCACCACCTCAGAAAAGCTGTGTTGTGATAAAGTAGAGGCAGAATTGACTCAGAGCCCGATCATAGCTCCGCAGCACCCTAGCAGTCATGAAATCAGCACAAGTTAGGGTCAGGGCAGGGAGGGGAGAAGGAACTAAACCAAATTGGAGGTCAAAGTTTTGTAATTGGATGGAACTGAGCTTGTAAGTAACTGAAGTGACCAGGAAATTATGTGAGCAGCTGGGTTGACATGAATTTGTTGCACAGCTGAAGGATAACTCAACAGGGCAGACCTGAGAGTAATAGTTCCCGAGGAAACAAATTTCACTCAGAGCATTGAAATTCCTCAACCAACTACTTTGAAACTCCAGAGTTACTGGGGCCTTCCCTTCCTTCTCTGAATTCCTTGCACTATGGAGGATGGCTCCTACAAGGTCTCAGAGACCGAGGAGGTAGCTTCCAGATGGGAGGCAGGAATCTCACAGGAGAGGAGGTATGTGTTCACCTTGAACGTTTTGCTGAGAAGCAAAAAATAATATTTATCATCAGTATAACAGAGCTGTCAGAAATGATGTATATGAAATGCACCACACAAACCAGCATAAGCAAATCTCTTTATTCTTACACAATGTAAAAATTGAAAATTTTAAATCAAGATAGAAAAGAAAACACAAGGATGATGCATGTTGTAATAGTCACAATGCTGTTCACAAAATACTTTCTATTTCTGGGCACTTAATCAGCTGCCATGAAGTTAGGTGGGGCCATGTGATTTGCTTAGTCACTGAAACGACAGTGATATGATATATGTCACTTCCAGATGGAAAGTAGGGTGCAATTTACTATATATGCTTTTCTCTGCTTCCACATTGTGGAGAATGAGACCTCCTTCAACCCTGATCCCCCAAATTAGGACAATGTAGAGAAGTGCCCAGCTGACACACACAGGTTAGGTTGTAGCTTTGTGTATTAAGGCACAGTATATGGTGGTGGGGTATATGTTACTGCAGTTAACTCTGGTACTGACTGATTATTGAGAATAATTTGGCAACTGTCCATCACCTTGCAGAAAAGGTCACCTACAGGTATGTGGTACACCCTTCTATCGCCAAGTGTATTGATGAGCAGTGTGATCATAAACTTGCAGACAGGCCTGATCTGTCACAGACAGGACCACTGACCATTAGCCAGTCAGCACTTTGGCTAGAAGAATACAGACAAAAGGGTGTGCAGAGCAGGGGAGGGTGCTGAGACTGCACTGATGAGGTGTCAGTTGCAGGTGACATACAGAAGTAGAAGACACTGACTAGAGTGCTCTGCTTAGATTTGCCAAAAAAATGGTGAGACACTTGGGCAGCACATAGCACAGGCATTTAGTAGGAATGTGCAAGCATGTCACTGAGGTCATACCCTTCTCCTTATTGATTTGATAGCACTGCATGAAAAGATCAAGCTATTGGACCGCGGAGGAGGTGATAGAAGTCACTGCTGGTTGGCTTTCCTGTGTGTCATCAATGACAGTGAATTTTAAAAAAGATGTAAAGAGTCAGCACCAATGGTCACATCACTGTCATAAGAGTAATTTACCCAGGAGGAGAACCAGCGGTCCCGAGAATGGCCATGGTGGGACTCAGGCAGCTTATTTGCCCGCCCTCTTGGTAAGTGCCCCCGTCGATGGCCAGGAAGAGAACCACTGGCTCCTGTAAGCCTACCAGCACACGGGCGGAAAATCAAACACACACACACCCCCACCGTAGCTTCTGGAGACAGATGTCTCTTGGGAGAATGGCCATATGCAGTATAGCAAATATGGGGGATCTCCTTCTATTTTCTGTTTGAAGGCAAAGTTGTTTGTACTATTTTGTTTTGTTATGTTTCTTCAGTACTCTCAAATGGTTATATAATGTTCTATTTTTGGTTTGATTTTGCTATACCTAATTGACTGTACAACTATTGTGAAATTAACGAGATATACCATAGCACCTATTACTACTATCCCAGTATCCTACTGTAAAATCCTGTACCAATTTCACTGCATTATCTCGATTGGCTTTGTTCTGTCTTGTGCTGTTGCATTTTTACTATCTCCAAAATAAAATTAAAAAAAAAAAGAAAAGATCAAGTTTTTCTTGTCCACACCTCTAGACTAAAAAGTCAGGGTGCCTAGGAAGGTCTCTTCACTCTCCTTGGTGAGTATCTTTGTGGTCTTGCAGGTTGTTCAGGAACTCAGAACTAAAGGCCCGGATGCCTGGCCATAGTCTCTAATTTCTCTGCTTTTGTTTTTCTACAAAGAAGTTGATGCTGGCAGCTTCCCACCCCTCTTAGATCCAGTTGGGAACAGACCCATGACTGCTCCTCTGTCAGCATCACAAGGGCCCTCAAAAGACAGATGGCCCCCAGAATCAGTCACCTCTCAACATCTCCACTGAAATGTCCCCAACCTTCTTCCTTGCAGGGGTAGAGTGTGGCTCACAGCGATGCCTCATAGAACTTCACAGTCTCACAGCAGCAAAGTGGATCTATCTTGTGCTTTTCCCTGACTCTTGGTCCTGCTGGATTGGAGATAGATCAACCCTGAATCTCCTTGGTGGTCTTGCAGGGGCAAATACCTTCCTTATTTCTCTTCCCCCAGTCATCGAAGTCTATGATGATGGGCCTCTGCAGAGAAGTAGCTTTTAATAAGACCCTTAACCTTCACCTCTCAGAGTACAATGACTCTCCCTGCTGCTGCAGCCCAAGTCCAAGCTGCACAGGACAGAGTAGGTGCCCTGGACCCTCAGGGAGAACAGATGGGATATGGGCAGAGCTCCAGACTGGAGTCAGAATGTCTGATAATGACACCTGCTGTCTTTCCCACATGGAGGGTCCCTAGCAAGTCACAAAACTCTCTGAATTCACACATGGGAAGTGGGGAACAATGACTCCTGAGGTTCTTCCGATGCAGGGACTTCCGATGCAGCAGGCAGTATCTGGCACTGGCAAAGTGTGCAGTAAATTGGCTGTCCTCTTTTCTGAAGCAAGAGAAGGTGTGGTTAGGGAGAAAGACCAAATAAGGAGGCCTTTGTGAACACAACAAGCAGGGCTTAGACCCTGTCCCAGGAATGGTCAACCAGAGAAAAGGTCTAAGACTTTCCAAAGGGAGGACAATGACCCAGTGTATGGTAAAAGGAATCTGGAGGGCTGGGAGCATAGCCCAGTGGCAAAGCATCTGCCTGGCAAATGCAGGGTCCTGAGTTCGATTACTAGTGCCAAAAAAAAAAAAAAATAGGAATCTGGAGAAGGTTGGCAAATGCTGGTCATTTCCAGGGACAGCTGTGTTTGGAGAAAGGGTAAGAGAAAACAATGCCAATCACATGGAAGAAAATCTAGGTTCCCTAGTCCTTCTGTCAGTCCTATCCTGAAGCCCTCCACCCAGAAAATCAGACGAGTGGCCTCAGCCTCAATATGTATATATGCCCATAGAACTAAGACAGACTGCATGAACCCCACTAAGGTTCCCACCTGCTGCCAGCCTGAGGGTCTGTATCTGAACAACAGCCAAAGCAGTCACTCCTACCAGCCCAAAGCTGGGGAATAGGTTTGCTCCCAAAGCCTCTGCCAGCAACATTCCATATAATCTTGGGGGGCAGCTGCATGGGTGGAGGTTAGAGAAACATTACAGAGAGCACACACAGACACCCAAGGGCCAGGAGGATCTCCTCCAGCACATGCTTGCCCAAAGCATGTACCACCTGGTGGCTACTCAGCCTTCCCTGCTGGTACCTCATTAACAGCAATCTGGACTTTTCCAGATCTGTGACAGCATGCAGGCCTGGGAAGCAATGAAACCTTCTAGGAAATGCAGCCTTCTGTCAGAGGAAGCCACCCAAAGAAAGAGGTAACAGCTGCCAAGGTTTACCCATCTTTATTTTTTTTTTTTATAAAACAAGCTACAAATAGTATCCCTCTCTCCCGCCCTCCACCCTCCCTCCTTCCCAAGGAAAAACCACACAACACAGCCCACGCACATATGCGAGGGAGAAGATGCCTGGGGAAGATGCCAAAATCTTCAAAGAAGACTTCTCTGCATTTACATGCTTCCTCAGGATCACAAATTGGGGCTGGGGTCTCCTGCAAGGTCCATCCAGCTGCAGTGTGCTGCATTTTCTAGTGGAGGATCATGGGAGTGGGCTTCATGATGGGTCCAACAGTCATCCCCAAGACAACCTCTGTGACTTCCTCCAGGACTGCAGGAGCCTTCTCTAGCCTGAGACTCGGGCAGGTCAAGCCCTGAAAAGGCCATTTCCCTCTGCCTTGGGCAGTCCTTATGGGGCAACGACCACCCAGATCCCAAATGGAATCCCACTTGCCAATGTAGATGCATGTATGGGGATTCCAGGGTGGAATACAAGTTGAGGCTCAATTGCTGGCAAGAGCACCAGTCCTGGGCTGCCTGACCCCCCTCACTACCACCATGGCTACCTCGATGGCACTTCATGCCCTTGAGGGTCATTTAGATGAGCTTGTCACCTGGGCAGAGGAAGTTGCACATCTTTCTCAGAAGCTGAGCTGCCCACACTGGAATCTCAGGAACTCCCTGTGGAAACCTTGGCCTGGATTTCCCCAGAGCTGGGTGGTCATTCCTGTTCCTCCTGGGAGGGGCCGAGTAGAAAACACAAACTCAGTTTTACTTCTAGAACGGGCCTTCAGGCTTCAAAGTCCATAAGAAAATTTGAAGGAAGGGGGAAAATCTGATATTGGGCTTTAAAGCAACAAAGCAATTGTTGAGTTACCAACAAGGTGACTGGCTCGGCTCCGCTCTCAGGCTCATTCTGGTGGCCACTGAAGACAGGAGTGGCAGATGGAGAAGAAAAAGTGAAAACATGGTCTTAGCTCAATTCTGGGAGAGTAACAGTCGGGAAGCCTCACTGCTGGGCTTGCAGGAGGACAAGCACTTTCCTCCTTCAGTTAGGCTTTCTGTCCTCCCTACGCTGCTTAGATATCAAACATCCACTAGCTAAAGGGTCCTACTGTGTGTCTTTTTTTTTTTCTCTCTCTCTTCCCTTCTCATATCCTGTAAAGAGGAGGCGCCAAACATGGATGGAAATGTTTAAACTGATCTTACAGGACACCTTTGATGATAGCTGTTCAGTTAGTCACTAAGATATTGGGGTGCCCACTGGCCCTGGACTCCCTGGGGGTCTTGATAGGAGGAACCTCCCTGGACCACTGGCAAACCGAGGCCTGTGATCTGGACTCCAATGCCCTCCAGGGGCAATGCCCAACTCTCACCAACCCAACCATCTTTGGAGGCCAAGGCTGCAAATGACTTGTTACTTGTGACAGACAGTGGGCCGGGGCAGTGCACTCCTCCACCGGAAGAGAACCGAGGGAGTCTGCAATGCAGTCACAGGGTCCCCATCGTCACTCACACAGAAGTCAGTCTAAGTGCAGTCTAGGAGGCTGAGAATAGAGTCCTAGGTTCTAGAAAGCTGAACCATGAGGCCAGAGTGCCCACAACCCGCAGCACGGAGAGGGAAGAGAGAGAACAAACAGCAATGCCAACGCCTGTACAGAAGAACTATACAATTTACATATATATTTATATACAGTATATAAATCTCTTTCTTCTCAATCCCACCAATAACCCCTCCCCCCAAATAACCTAAAAGTTGTCAGTAGCAGATCCAAAACCTTACAATACGAGAGAGAACAAACAGTCTTTCTTCCCTTTCCTTTTCCCACTGTGCTGTTAGATGCTGGTGTTTACAAAGGAAACCAGAAACAAAACACACAAAGAAGAGTTATTAAAAGTGCAAACACGGTGGGCACCACTTATGTTACACGGGATGTGGCTGAGCCATGGGCAGCATGGAAGCCTCGGTGTCTGATGGTCCATTCTGTCTCCGTGGACTTTCTACTGCCCTTTAGACTTTCCGCTCCTTAGACGAGACGTCCTACTGAAAAGAGGAGAGGACAAAAAGTGTAAGTAAGAAGAGTTGGGTAGATGAGAAATGTAGCAACTTAAGTCAGTTCCCTCAAAGACCAGTCCTTTCATCCGGCTGTTAGATATGGCTGGGTGGGCACAATTTGCCTAGGCTTGCAGATAAGCACACAATACCAGCCCATCCTTGCCATGGTGAGCAGACCAGTGGCCCCAGGAATCAGCTGGACCCTCCAGAGACCTAGCATGAGTTGAGGTGCAGCATACGTCACTTTATCTTCTTAGCACAAACTCCATCTTTTTCTTGTATCCTTAGTTTGCTAGTTTGTTTTGACATATTGACAGAGGGTGCTTAATAACATGGACAGTTGCTTCACCCATGATTCACTGCCACAACTTCATCAGGGGTTTCACAGAGGAAATAGGGGAGCTCAGAAAGAAGGCAACTTACTAAATGGGTTTGTGCCTCGTTTTCCCTGGGGTAAGCTGCCAAGGCTACCACCTGCAACAAACAGGAACACGTGACACTTGAATGGTCTTGACCCGGGGATTCAGGTAAAGCATCTCTTATACCTGGGTCCCTACCTCTGTTCGCCCCCAGAATGAAGGCAAGGACTTGGGAAGGAGCCAGAAGTTTGGTGGCCATGCTTCCTGCTCTGTGGGTGTCTGTGGTCTCCTTCTGCCTGCAGGAACACTTTGATGACTGACCTCTTAAACAAAATCCCTTTTCCAAGCAGCCAGAATCCTGATGGGCTGCCTCTTTCAAATCCCCACAGCTATTAGCCAAGAAGGGCTTTGGTACTGTTGAGCATTGCATAACTTCTTGGTCTTGGTTCTCCAAATAATGGAATGTCAGAAGTAGGAGCAATCTTAGCCCTTCCCATGACAACTCTGGAGGCACAAGCTCAGAGCAGCTAGTGACTTACAGGAGGCTCAAGGCTCATTCCTCCCCACATGGGGTCGAGTACTTCTGGAGGCTGGCCATGCTGGCTCCTGTGGGGCCATGGTCTGCTAAAGTGAGGCTGAACTAGGGAGCACTGAAAGCAAGCTGGGCCAGCTGTGTGTTGTGCTAGGCACACCCTTGAGCCTCTCTGGAGTGATCCAGAGGATGTGGATCAGGGCCACAGCTGCACAGCTTCCCTTCAGCCTCTCTCACAGGATTATGCTGAGGATCAAGTGGATTCACGGAGGAGAAGGGCCTAGGAGAAGGCGCAGTGTGCTGTGGAATCCAAGCCCACCCATGGGTCATGAGACTTCACAGCTCAACATCCCCACACTCCTTAGGGCCAGAAAAAAAGAGAACACGGGGTGGACACAGGGTAGATGTCGGTATAACCAATTTTTCAGATTAAGACCCAAACTCAGAAAGATAAGGACAATCGTAATACAGGTGGTCAGAAAGGAGCAGAGCCGCTGAAACTCAAGAAACAAATAGGTAACCAAGATCAGGGAAGAGAGATCTTCAGGGCAACCCCATGGAATAGTGATAAAATGACCCCCATCTTATGATGGCAAAGCTGAGACTATGAAACGCTTTCAGTGGCCTGTGCAGGACGGCATAGTTCCATGTGAGGAAGCAAATTTAGAGCTGATTCCCTTGCCTCCAACACCACACTCTGGATCATCAAAAGAGGGCAAGCTGAGGCCGGGGCAGGTAGCATCTTAACTGAAAGGAGAAGCTGGCATTTGTGAAACACAGAGGCACAGGTCACCTCCCCACTTGCCTCACAGGATGGTGGCAATAATCCCAAGGAAGGTACATTATAAACTGGAAAATGCCAGTTAAGACAGAGTCTCCAGCTCTCAAGGCGTCTGGCTTTTCAGGCTGGGCAGAAATTCAGCTCTCTGTTGAGAGGTCCCACTGGTAAAAATAGTTGTGTTCCTATGGAATTTCCAAAATGTTGGTTCATCTGGTGCAAAGCTATCCTCATCCCTGAGCCCCTCATCTTCCTCCAACACCCCCTTGGCCCCCACCTAGGGGGTGCAAGCCCCTCTAGGTCCACCAGAGGGCACCATGTGACACCGGATGACCCATGCACGGGCTCCCTTCACTGGAGTAGCTGCACGCCATGGACCAAGTGGCTTTTGCGCTGTGGCCCCAAAGCAGAGGGTCAAGGAAGGCTGCCCCTGGGTGGGTTATTTTACTATAATAATTTCTTTTGAGTGCTCACTAGCACCAGGTACTGGGGTGTGCTCTTCACACGCATTATCTTGTCAAACCCTTACACCAGGTCTATTACTGGATACTATTATCTCCATTTTTTAGGTGAAGAAACTGAGGCTCAGAGAACTCAGGTAGCTTGTCAAAGATTACAGAGCTAGCAAATAGCAAAGTGGCATAAGAGCCAGGGTGCTGCCTTGCTCTGTGAAGTGAGCACAGATTCCAAGTGAGACTGACCATGATGTGGCTACATGGAGCAACCCCTCATTCATTTATTCGCTTGCTCTTTCATTTGTTTGACAAGGGTTTCATGAACTGCTGCTCAGTGCCACATGCTAGACATGGAGAGTTGAGTAGATAGCATCCAGGGCTTCAAGGGAGGATTAGGAAAGTAAATTGCAATACAGTGTGATAAGTGCTGTTGAGAAAAGCAATAATCTTATAAAAAGGAGCCTTACTGAGCTCTGACTGAGTTCATTCTCTGTCTCATTGGTAAATATGAGTCAATGATAAATGGTGTCACTCATATGATATCACTATGATAAATGCTCTCACATGCTGTCTCATTTAATCAGCATGACAGCCCTACGAGGAAGACATTATCATCATTCCCATTATACAGAGTAAGAAGCTAACACAGAATGGCTGAGAAATGCACACAGAGTGAAAGTGTGGCCAAGGTGGGGTTGGAACCGTGATGCTACACTGTCCGCTGGAGACTCAGAGCTCTGTGGGAACCAGTGAGGCATCCTCATTAGACAGGCCACTCAGCCGGGGCGGGCAGGCCAGCTAGCCTGAGAACTGCAGCGGAACTCAGCAATGGAGGAGCTGAAATGGGGCTCCTGCAATAACCACCCAGCTACCCCTCCCATGGGTGGGTTTACTCTGACAACCGAGGGACAAGGAAAAGCACTTCTGTCTTCCTACGCTAAGTCTCCCTAAGTAATCTCAGCTTTTCCAAAGCTTTCTCTTCCAATAAATCAGCATCAGGCGAATTGGTATCTTCAGCCCAGACCACCACCTGCCCTACAGCCCCACTCAGTCTGCAGGTTATCCAACCTGACCTGTCCAAACCACACTCGTTTCCGCTCCTATCACCCATGCCTGCTGCTCTTTCTTCCCTGTTACCTATCCCACCTCCACCATTGTCTCTGTATCTTACTCAATCACCAACCCATCTATGTCTCATCCCCCTTGCTTTGATGATTTTTCCCTCTATCACTTCCTGCTTGGGTTATACCACATCTCTTGGGTGACTCTGCCTTGTGCATTTCCAGGCCATTTTCCACACTAAACCAGCATAATTCTCTAAAGCAAAACTTCTCCTACCATTTCTCCAGATGAACCCTCCCAACAGCTTTACACTGCCCTCCTAAAGCCTTTCAGCTGGATTAAAATGTTCTCCAACCTCACCCTGCCTCTTGTCACAACTCCCTCCTGCAGGTATGGTCTAGCAATCGAGTTCCAGCCAATGAAAGGTGAGAATTACTGTGTGCCACTTCCAGGACTGTCCCATGAAACTACCCCACATGTGCCATCTGTGTTAACTTCACCTCATTGACCGAGGATAGAGATGACCCCCCAGGTGATCTTGGAGGTCACCTGATAAAGATGGCAAGTTCACCCTCAGCCTAGATCCCAGACTGACTACATGGAGCAAGTTTGTTCCATCTCCTCTCCCCTCTGCCTCCTTCCACCACATCCTGAAACCACACTTCATGATTCCACAGGCAAAATAAGTGTTTTCCACTGTATTGAGTCCCAAGAATAGGGCTTTCTACTTGTTACTGCTGCCCTATCCCAGCAAATACAGTACTCTCACAGCACTTATCACAGTATATGTGTGGCTTACTCAGTGGACTGTGTAAGGACAGGGGCCTTCTCGGTCATGTCCACCACCGTAGCAGGCATCTAGCGGAAAGCATAGCACACCCCTGGGACTTGCTGTTGAGTAGCAAGCACATGAGATCCCATTTCCTGGGACAATCACTGATGCCAATGCCAATGCCTCAGCAAAGCAGGAGGCAGGGGACAACACTCACCTTCTTTGCTGACACCCAGGCAGCCCTTCAGCTCAGGCAGTGAGATGACCTTGTCCTTGTTCAGGTCACAGTAGTCAGTGAAACGTCGGGCACATTTCTTGGGCTTGGCTTTCTTTTTCACATAGCGCTTGAAGGGCTTCATCTCCCGCTTGTTGATGTCATTGCTGCTGTTACTGTCCAGCTGGCTGAAGTACCAGTGTACCACACGCTCCTCCAGGGTGTGGCTGGGGTCTGGCTCAGAGAACCTGGACCACGGCAGACACCCCCACCCCAGAAAACACTGCTCAGGATCATGTAGGAAACATTAGCCCCACTCTAGCTTACTTCCAACCGGCTGATGCTAAGGCACTTGCTGTGGCTTGAATGTCCTTTACCCCCACCAACACTCAGCCTGAAACTATGCAGATGTACTGGGAGGCGGAGGGATCTCTTAGAGGGATTAATGTATTTCACAAGAAACTGAGTTAGTTCTTATAGCAATGGATTAGTTCTTGAGAGTGGGTTCTTACAAAACATATGCTCCACCCCATCTCCTCCTCTTTGTATGTGCCTGCTTCCCTCACACTTTTCACCATGTGTTGAAGTTGAGTGAGGCCCTCACCAAAAACCCAGAAGAAAATAGCACTATGCTCTCAAACTTCAACAAACATGCGCCAAAATAAATATCTTCTCTTTATAAATAACCCCATATCAAGCATTTTGTTATAGCAACAGAAAACACACTGAGGCATTACTCATGCTGGGCTTCCAGGTAACCTCCTCCAAGCCAAAAACCTCCCAGAGCTGACCAGCCTTGATTCTCAAGACTGAAAAGTTTTTGTTCCTTAGGAGTTCCCAAGTAGACAATCTTTATCACATGAACCTGTACTATACAAAAGTTTTTGTACAAGGTGAATATTCAAGACAAATTGGCTGGATTTAATCCACTTAGTGAACCACAGCTGGAATCCAAATTGTCCTTCTCTTGACCTAAAGCTCACTTTCACACAAGATGCTCTTCTCATATAAATTTGTTCACAGATAGACTCAACTATGGGAATCTGTATTCTAAGTATCCAAACCATCTCCCGTGGAAGCGGGTCCTGAGATGGACCCCAAAGAGGGAAGTGCAACCCTCATATTAAGCTGCCTGCTATCACAGTGTGGAAGAGCCAAAACTGTGAACACAGGCATGACAGTTCAATGGGAAGTGGGGTGTTCCCACAGCTCTCCACCTCTGGGTACACAGTACAGCAAAAATTGAGAGAAGGCAATTGGTACAGAGACAGAGATTCTAAAACAGACAAATGTAAGGCCTGCTGGAGAAAGTCTCTCCAACCTGAGATTTCAGTCAGGAGACCCAAGGTGGGCCCCAGAGATGTTAACCAGCATCGACACTGGCCTTGAGTGATCAGGAACATACCATGGTATCCAGATGCACAGTGCTAATCACATCTAGCACAACCCATGCATCTCTGATGACTACACCAAGTTGTAAGGCCAAGGTCTCTGTGTGTAACTGCATGAATAACCTATCCATGCCTCCATCTTATCTCAAAAGAAGTCCAGGTAGTAACTAACAGTTACAATTTTTAAATAGATGGGTCTATGCCAAAAGATGTGGCTGGCTTCTCTGAGCAGAAAAACAGAGACACATGAGTCCCCTGACTCCTGGTCCCAGTGCTTGACACTGAGTGCATGTGGGCAAGACTCAATACCTGGAGAGGGGAAGGAGATTGAGGCTGTAAGTCCCCTACACTCACATACAATGTGGGGCACTTGAACAGAGCATGTGCAAGAGGAGTTGTTACGCTGGGATCCTAGGCCAGGAGATCAAGGGCAGTATTTAGAAGCTGAACCTGACAAGAAAAATGTTCGAGGCACTTGTCGATACCACCTTGTCTTTTCTGGGGTTTGCTGAGATCTCCGGATGAGAAGAAAGCATTTCTAATCTTTCCTCTATGAACAAGCCAGTAAATTCCCTCTGCACTTCACACCTCCCAAGTGACTTCTATGTTCAAAGAAAAAGAAGTTTCATTGAAGAATAAATAAATAAATAGCCAGTCAGTCCTGCTAAATGTCCATTCTTATTAAGTGGATTTCAGTCTCGGGCAGATCCCCCTGGTCATCCTGGACTGATTCCAACAGGACACAATTAGCAGATGGCCAGAGAGATTCCTCCTGACAAGTTTAACTCAGGGAATACCTGGGGGAAAGGGTGAGGGAACCACACAGAGCTGCCCTGGGGTCAGACTCTTGGGGAATCTGTCATGGAAACCAGGTGCAGGATGTCTTTGAAATGCATGAAGCTATTCCCGGAGGAACTCAGATTCTGTTGCTGTCTGTATTTTCATGTTTTTCTTCTTCCTCTATTTACCTTCCTCTATTTACGTTGCAGGTAAATAGTTTTCTTTAGGGAGTGCTGGATATAGGAGGAGGCAGGAAGGTCTCCCCCAGAGTGAGGAGTCTCTTAAGCCATCTTTGCTAGAGTTCTTTCCATCACAGACTCCTGACCACTTACACCTTGACCTCATCACTTCCGGAGATCCCAAGACTATACTTGCACGGCACTCTAAGCGGGCAGGCAGAAAACTCTCTGAGGGGGTGCTCAGTCTGTAGGAAAGGACACTCCCTACTTGTGTCCCTAACACCAGAGAGGACTCAGCCTCAAAGGAGACATAAGGAGCCTGAGCAGGCTCCAGCAGAAGCTCCTGCAGTTGAGGGAAGCAGTTGGGGATCTTCCCCCTCAGCCCCTCCTGCCAAGGAACTATGGGAGCCCCAAGGCACAGGCAGATCTTCCTTTAACCTTTAGGCTGGGCATAGCGTAATGTCTACCTAGAGGCTGGAATAATAAAGCCTCAGTCGCTGAGACGGGAAGGGATGAGGTCATCTGACCCAGAGGCCCTGCCAGGGAAGGCTCACTCCCTCCAACACGTGTTCCCTGGGCTCCGCCAGTCAGTTTTCAGCAACTCCATTGATAGAGCTCCCCTCATACCCACCTTCCCTGGGGCTATTTTGCAGCAAGAAGCAGTTCTTCCCAACTAGCAGCCTCTAGGAGTTTCCTTCCATGCCAAAGCATGATCATCACCTGGCCCCTGCTCCTTTTCCCTCCCTGGACTCTGACTGGCCCTTTATGCCTGCCTCCCTTCTCAGAGCCACAGCCTTGCTCTCATCTTGCCTGGCAGGACTCCACTGTGCAGCCTTGAAGTCCACTGTTGGTCTGCATATTTAGCCCCACTGGGCCACTAACCAGACTATGGGCTGCAAGGTGCCAGCATACTTCCTCGTGAGAAGAGCTCTAGGCCCCTGCAAACCATGGCCACAGCCTGTAAGAGTCCTGCCTCCTTGTCCTTTTTCCCGGTGTAGGCCTGGATTCCAAACCCCTTTGGACCCTGGTAACAGAGCCCAGCTTTCTACCTGTGATTTTGGTAGTGCTAGCATCACACCTGGGTACTAGGTCAAACCCAAAATGCCTTTGCTTTAAGAACTTCTTACCTTTAGGTACTTGGGTGATTATAGCCCATCTGAGTACCTAAACACAGCCATAGGTCTTGTCTCGAGAAAGACACACAGAGGTCTGCAGATGTTAGGGGATTAATGGACTTCCCACTGCTCACCCATAGCTCTCCATTGGCTCAAGTAAAAACATTGTTCATCAAGAGGGATGTAAATCCCACCCCAATTCCAGAATATTTAAGCATGATGCTTCTGGAAGATGAAAGAGTATGACAAAAGACAGTTGCTGGGAATGATTTGGGATAGTTTCCATATTTTTACTAAAATGAAATTTATTTTTTCAAAAACCACTAAAAATATCTGACTTAAAACTCTATAAATCAAGTTTCTAGCTTGGCAACAGCCCTAAGTCACAAACAAGATTGACAACCTTGGTTTATACAAGCTCCTAAAACCAAGATCTATCAGGAGTTCCGGAATAGCCACACTAGAGGAGAACACAGTTATAGAGAGATTAGTTAACAAGATCTCACAAAGGCCATGGCCCTCAGACTCTTGATGATCTACCTGGAAAACCTGTCTAGCACACATTCTTCTCTATAGGAAACATGGAAATCTGACCTGCTCCTCACATTTGGACTACGTATAAAGTTTCTTTCTCCCATCCAACAGGTGCTCACTGGTCACTAACTCTTTTCTGGTTATTTTCTGACAGCTAGAGAGCCACAGCATCCGAGGGTAGTTAGAGAGCACACAATCCTCAGTAGGCGGGGCCTACAGCCCCTCCCAGATTGAAGAAGCCGTAGAAGACAGAGACCCCCATTCCCTCAGCACCCCACGAAGAATTAGGAAATTTGTGTCTCTCAGGGGCCTTTGTTAATTGAGTAGAATCTGGAATTTTTCTTTAGGGAGTGCTGGATATAGGAGGAGGCAGGAAGGTCTCCCCCAGAGTGAGGAGTCTCTTAAGCCATCTTTGCTAGAGTTCTTTGCATCACAGACTCCTGACCACTTACACCTTGACCTCAACACTGTACTCCACCAATTCCTTTAGCTCTTTCCACCTGTCAGACATAGGCTTTTAAAACACCCACAGTTCAGGGCTGGGGATTTAGCTCAGAGGCATAAGCGCCTGCCTTGCAAGTGTGCGGTTGTGAGTTCGATCCCTGGTACCGATAAAAAAGAAAAAGACCAAAAAAACCCAAAAAAACAAAAAACACCCACAGTTCCCCTTTCCACTGTAGGCGGATCCTGGCAGCAGACACCCACCCTCACTCTCACATGTGCACATGGGGATGGGAACTATTCACTAGGCTAGGACTGGAACCTCAAATTAGAGGGTGCAATGGCTCCTTAAGACCACTATAACTGCATTTGCTGGTCTACACTACATCCCTTCCATAGGTGAAGATCTAATGAGGTTCATTAGGTAGGTAAAATGCACCCGTTTCCTCAGACATGGTGTAGAACTATATACCCAAATGACACCAAGTCCCAGACTGTTGTTCAGGGCAATGCTGCTTCTGGGCTGGTTAATGAGTCTCTCCTCCAGGAATAGAGAACCCACTACTAGAGCCAGGTCCCTTCCTGAACAGCCCTGCTGATCTTTCTCCTAACTCGGGCGTGGGGGCACCCTTAACCTGTGGCACTTTCAGTTTTGTTTCTGCAGCCTCAGCCCTGCCAGGCCTTGGCTGCAGTGCACAGCTGGAAAGCCAGCCCTGTTTACCACAACTTGCTTTGGCCAAGATCTTGGGGCCTGTTCTGCTGTCCTAAGCAGTTTTAGAGAAGGTAAGGCTGGACAGCCAGGAGGTGT